CTAGGCACTTTGCTCTTATGGGTGATGAACATTGAAGTTGAAATTGTACACATGTGAATTTTAAGAGTTGAGAATCATTTTCTACGTACAAGATCAGAAGAAAGGGGGGTTTATTGTGGCAAGTCAGTATCTTACATGGAATACAAACATCAAGCTGAAGAAATGGGAAACAAATGATAAACAGAATATCTTTTTCAGCTGCTTCCAGATAATTCCAAAAGGGGGGATCTATTGTATGGGGTTAGTATAATTCCATTGGATTCAATTGAGAAAGTATTGCGAGGCAAGAAACGGTATGCTGCAACTGAGTCAATGTTTGCTGGTTCAAGCAGCAGGTCCTCGTCCCAATCCAACTTTCCGACAACGGCCGCACATTGATATAAGGAGAAGCGAAAACGAGTCGTGGGAAGGTTGAGTCTCTTGGGGTATAGGTTGACAATTGGTGAGCAGAAAATAACATGTTTTATCTCTTCTAGATGGTTTTTGTACATGTATATCTGCTTCACAATGCCATACTTCAGCTTACCACCAAGCTTAGCAACCACACAATTTTGTGGTTCTAAACAGGATACCCTGACATCTCCACACAAAACAGACTGAACAGGTGTTGCATACCCAGATAGAACCGGCAATCCACGTGGTATTGGGAACTCGTCTCGATGCCTTAATGATGGATGTTGTCTCCTTACCCAGCTGAATAGCTTCCCGTAGACTGCGTCAGAGAGGTATATAGAGGCAGGTGACTTTGCTGTTTGAGATTTATTGTTTTCGCCATTGGTCTGGAGGAATTCTTTGTATCCAGGCTTGTCAATCATTTTTTGTAATTGGCATCCCCGAGTCATCATTGTTGCATTCATCTGGTCTGAAAAAAGAAAATATATATTAAGTAGATGTTGTCACTAGATGTTGTACCTGAGTACGTATTGAGATTGCACCCACCAATCAAATTGTTTGTCTTGATTTTTTGCAAAAATCCAATGAGTCTCTCCCCTGGAAATTCAGAGAGACAGACAACAGGCCCCCATCGCCGCAATTGAGTTGTATAATGTAAAGCGTAGTGGTGATTCGGTTGTACCTTCACGCCTTTGAAGAGTTCGCCAACAGTGTCACTGTATTTTCTGTAGTGTGACTCAAATCGTTTGATGTGGAGGTCGTTAATTTTCCTAGAGCAGATAATTCGAGTGCATGAAACTAGATTTCCTGTGTTGAAGAGAAAATTTGATAGTTTTGGTTGACTGTCAATATTTCCAATTTTGGTTATGTAGAGATCAAAGATAACCAATGGGATGATGTATGAGAAGAGGGTAAACCACTGTGATGCCTTCAGTCGTCCATGACTCTCTTCGCCAAGGTTTGGGGGTAACTTGTCAAGACCATGTGGTAGTATGACCTCCTTCATACTGCGACGGAAAGTTTCGATATCGTTCTGAGAGAAAAATGAACCATCTGGACCACCATCAAGGACAAGATCTGTGTCGCTTTCATCTGAGCTGTCCTCCAGTCTGGAATTTTCAGAGGTCTCGTCCAAAGACATTGCAGATGCGGCGCCACCCAATCGTGCCCGCTTTCTTCTTGATTGTGCATAAGCAGAACGTCTTCGTTTTTCGGATTCCTTCTTGGTGATTGATTTGAAACCCCATCGATATCGGAAATGAGCTTGCAAGATCCCTTCGAGCCAATTGTGCAAGACACCAAGCACAATGTTATCAGACGGATTCCAGTAGCTTAGGCGGTTGAGTTCTGACCATCGTACACCTGACTCTTTGAGAAGATTCTCTGATTCCGTGCTTGACTTTGAATCCTTGGCCAATTGGGCTGCCGCTAGTGTCGCATCCTTTGACCTGTTTGGTCCACGTTGCAACATTCCAAGATCATTCAATTTTTCTTTGCAGAATGAGCAGAAGTATTTTGCAGAGTGAGAGGCAAATCCTGCAACCTTCTTGACTGCCGGGGCATCACCGAGCAAGCACAGTAACTTGATTCGCACCGTTCGACCATTAGGATACTGATAGGTTCGGATTTCAACACCAGATTCCAGCTGAATTAATTCATCAACAAAGGGTTTCAAGAGATGATTGATTGTTTCGGTGTTGGGTGAAAAGGGACCTGGAGTTATTCCAGCAAGACCAATATGGGAGACTTTGTTTCGAGTTGAGGGTGGGAGATTTAAGCAAGAGAAAGCAAACACTCCACTAGATTCAACACTTCCAGAGATTTTATTTCCACGTGGGTTGAACCAATCGACGAATAGAGATAAGGCCAAGTCCAAAGAGTTGGACTGATCTTTACTGAACAAGGTTTTGAAAGCGGTGCCGTTTTGAACATCAATCAGAAAATCGTCTTGATTGCCAACTTTGCCAGCCCATTCTTGAATTTCCTTCTCAGTGTCTGGTTTGGAAAGGAGCCAGGTGACCCAGGTGAGAATGGACTGAGAGATGAAATAACAGCGAGGAACCCCAACGAATTGAGGATAAGGAACCGGATTTTTGGTTGTTGATTTGGGGGGGAATTGGCCAAGGTCCTTCATGCCACGATACACCCGGTTCTGTTTGAATAGAGGTTCTCCACATTGTTCCTCGTTTGGATACGGTAGATAGGTGCAGAAGAGGGGTGCATCACGGTTCGGCGGGTATAGGGAAAAGCATTCACGGCAGCATATAGTTTTGATGAGGGTAGGATTGATGTCGGCTTTCTCAATAAGGCTTCGCGGATCACGGGCAAGTGTTTCAAGCTGGTTGATTGGAGCTGGTTTTTTCTGGAATTCCTCAAGAATTTTGAAAAGGAAATTACAAGCAGTCCTACAATTCTCACGGCTCACACCACAGAATAAGTAAAGCCAAGATATAAAGAGAACAATGAAAGCTGTTTTGCATGTCAGATATATATTTTTTTTCTTGGAAAAAACAAAACAAAAAAATTAGGAAAGGAAAGAGAACTCACAAATCAAGTTGTTGTCAGCCATGTTGGGCCCTTCAAAGACTGAACCATTTGAGGTGTCAGAATGGATAACTGCGCTATTGTTGGTTGAAGATCTATCACTGTTTGAATCCTCCATGACCAAAGGCTTTCGATCTTGAAGTTGATGTGTCCTGATGGTTCGAGGAGCAAGGTATTTTCCATGCTGGTTTGTTTTGGTTTGTGGGTCGTAGACTGAGTTGAGGATGCATTTTGAACAAGTGCATAGTGCCTTCTGGTTTTGGGTTTTCGGCATGGTCCGTACTTTGTTTTCAAGTTTGAAAAAAACAGATATCGAGAAATCGTGAATCGGACAGGCCAGTGGGTTTCCAAATTTGAAAAAAAAAAAACGGCGTGAAAAATTGTAATTCAGACAGGACCGGCCCGTCGGTGAATGTTCGTCAAGGAGCAAGTCGTATTTCACAGTTCGGACAGGCCAGTCGGGGCCAGTCGCCTTCCAAATTTGAAAAAAACCGCACAAAAAATCGAGATTCGGACAGGTCCGGCCAATCAGTTCGCTAAGGTGGTTTGAGCAGCAGGTCGTAGTTCGTAGTTCGGACAGGCCAGTCGGGGCCAGTCGCCTTCCAAGTATGAAAAAAACCGCGCAAAAAAATCGTGATTCGGACAGGTCCGGCCAGTCAGTTCGCCAAGGTGGTTTGAGCAGCAAGTCAAAGTTCGTAGTTCGGACAGGCCAGTCGGGGCCAGTCGCCTTCCAAATATCAAAAAAAACGCGCAAAAAATCGTGTTTCGGACAGGTGCCGCCAGTCAGTTCGCCAAGGTGGTTTAGGTCGTAGTTCGTAGTTCAGACAGGCCAGTCGGGGCCAGTTGGTTTCCAAAGTTCAAACGAACCGCGCAAAAAATCTTGATTCAGACAGGTGAATGTTCGCCAAGGTGTTTGAGCAGCAAGTCGTAGTTCGTAGTTGGACAGGCCAGTCGGCGATTGTTCGTCAATGTGGTTGGGCAGTTGATACCGGCGCCACAGGTGAAACAGCAGTCGACTGGAAAAGGTCATGAATGGTGTGTACGGCCAATCATTCATGAGCTGATCTAAATCTCAGACTCCCCCCTTGTTACCAACACCATCAGCCATTAATGGCGATGAGCACCGGTCATTTGGTGAATACCCGCGGCTGGTCCCAATCCAGCCAATCCAGCACGCGATGCCGCTTGTCGAGGCGGAAACTCATAGTAGGCAGGTAATACCTGCCGGCAGCTTGCTGAGGAAGAATCCTCCCGGTGTCCACTTAATCCAGCCGGGCAAGGATTCTTGCAACCCAGTAAGCTCATGTTTCTCGGCTGGACGGTGGAGTCAGAGCAAGTCGGGAGGTCTTTTCCTCCCGATTTTCAATTTTCATTTACATTAATCTTTAATAATATCTTGGGTCTCAATTACCCATACTTGTCGCTTGTAGGCACTGGTGTCGCTTCATTTTACCCTGCTGTCGCATTCGAGTTCACGGGTGTCGCTGCGGGTGTCGGATACCACCAACCTAAATTTGTGCGCTGCGACCCGCAGTCGCTTCACACGGAAGCGACAAGCAGATGACCGTAGTGTGAGCTAGCCGGGCCATGCTGCGGAGCGCAGCTGATGCCATCTCGTAGCGCCCCAAGTCGTCACACACCAATGACGCAACCGGCTATTTGATCGCATTGACGTTCACCGTTTAAAAGGGCTCTGGAGTTTGTGCCCATTGCCCATAGAGTGAGCCTGAAAGGATACGCTCTTTGCACAGATAGGTCTCACTAGAATGAATCTTTCTTTGTTTGGTTGCGCGGGGGGGGGGGGGGGGGAAATGATATGAAATTTCTTGTTGCAGTGATGTTTTAAGGGTGTCGATTCGTACAAATAGAAAACGAGGCTTTTGGATTGACAAAAAATGTGAAAAAGAACAATTTGATAAAAGAAAAAAGAGACAAAGAGACAAGGAGAACGAAATTGAAAAAGGTAAGAAAACGACAAAGATTATTCATCAAGGGTAAGTATGTATATATAAAATAAATTGATTTATATATACAAGATGATAAACAATCTTACTTCATGCGGAACATTTGCATTTTTTTTGGAATAGAAAGAAATCAAACAGAGAAAACAAACAAACATTGAGCGATCAGGGGTCATTATTTTGAGCCCACCCTTGTTCATCCGACTCATATCATTCATTTACGGCCGGAATGCTTCTTCTGAGATTGAAACACACATGTATATGTATATACATTCAATTCTGAAGTATTTGCGTTGAGAATATATTCCTGCAAGGTACTTGAGCTCAAATCAAGTCAATCCGATTTCGTTGTGAATGAGAGAGAAGGAGAGTGTCTCATAGCTGGAAGAGGATAAAGTGGTGATACATGCTCGAAAAAATGGGAGAGTAGAGTCAAGTGGCTCTCCTCTCATCCCGACTTGTCTCTACTGTCTACGTCTTGGGTTGGTCGGACTGCTTTTTAGGACAAGTGGAGGGAAGGATACTGTCTTTTCGTGGGTGGGTCAGAAGGTGAAGGGGCCAATGGGAGGATTGCCTAATTAAGCAGGGAGTCGCAGAGAGGCTTGAGGAACGATGAGGAATTAGCGTCAACACTAGGACTTTCTCTCAAATGGAGTGATGAAGTAATCCTTATCAAGCTTGGACCGATGCGAAAACATTCGTCAAATTGGGTGAGGGGTCATGCTGCGGATTGTTGGAAAGTTCCCGGTCGTGGTTTGATGATGATGATGATTCAGCCTCCTGATTGGCCAGTTTCATTTCGCTCAAGGGTGGGGTGATTGCGGTATGATTCCTATCTACCGAATCGTTGTTGAGACCACTGGAAGGCCTTGCTTTCTTCATGGTCGTCGTCCTTTCCTGTAGTTGGGGTTCCTGCTGCTGGGGTAGCCCTTCATGGTGTTGCGAATGTGATGGCTGACCGGTCGGTGTTGTGCAAGTTAGATCGATCGGCCCTGGCGTCGGTTGACCGGGTATGATTTCAATGCTGGAGGTCGCCTGCTTAGCCTGGGAAGAAAGACCGCCAAAGTTCAAATTCAACATTTATAGCTTTCATCCACACTTCACGAGAACAAGCTGTGCCTAAGGTAGCCGATTATTGGTGTTTTATGGCTAAGCCAAATAACGCTTTACAAGCAATTTTGCTACTGATGGTTTCGAAAAAAGAAAAGAAACTATAAGATGGGATGATACAAACTTTACCGGTCTTTGTCCGTTTGAACGCTTTAGAGCTGGGTACCGAGGCGGAAGGGCGCTGCTCTCCATCGAAAACGTAGTCGGGAAGCTGTGCTCTGGATTCATCAATAAGGAGAGTGGGATTACGCATTTTCCAAGAAGGAAAGAAAGAGAATCAAAAGTAGAAGAAACCAGTCCAAGTCGTGTTTTCCGGAAGGTCGGTTCGAACGAGCGGAGAAAGGAGGGATAAGAGTGAGAAAAAAGTGCCAACATCAAATAAGAAAGCGAGGTTGACATGTGGCCGAATCAAGCAGGAGGTGTGGTTGAATGGTGAAGTATTCTGGGTGGGCACATGGATCTTCTTTGTGGGCATATATCCGAAATGCCAGGCTTCTTCCAAGTTGTACGGCGAAAATACACCAACTGGAGACAGCGCGGTATATAAGAAGAGCCCGGTGAACAGACGCAGCCAGGCAGATATAACTGTACACGCATTTCTGTTGTTTGTGAGACCAAGAAGCTCAATACATGACCAAAGGACGTACCCCTTTATGTAGCGAACTATGATACCCATCGAATCTTCCGCATAGCCCTCCCATTGCTTGACCATTCTGGTGAATTCCCCTACCGGATAAGATATGTCGAGTTTGCGGGGACCAGTGTGACCAGCTGAGAAAGAGTCGGACGGATAATCAGAGACTGCCGATGTAAATGAGACCACACTGCGAAATAAACAAACCGGGTTTGGGCTGGACGAGTAGACCAATAAAGAATGAACTTGTGTATACCGCTCCAGAACCCTCCTTGCCTTCAATGTCTGCGAGGGTGCGGCCTTTGACATCAGGTGGTACATCACCCACTTGAATCGCACGCACCTGTATCATTGGGAGGAGGAAAAAATGTCCATTAGATAGTTTAAGTGGTTGAATGATTGCTGTAGCTTACTTCATCGGATGTCAAGTAATACGATTCTCGTTCAAAGCCTTTGATGAAAGGATGTGCCAAGTCGACAGTCTCGACTTCTTCAACTTTCATGACAAGTTGCCGCAGCCGTGCCTCAACCGTTCCTGCCCTGTGGAATGGAATCAGACCAACGATGTATGCTCAGCGTTTGCTTCACTGGCAGGTAACTTGACGATGACAGAGTGATGAACCATTTGAGCTGAATTTCGGCATTAGGGGATGAAGCTGTGATTTGTAGGTAATATCGGTAGCGAGTAAAAAAATCGTGCTTATCAAACAAAGCTGCCCATGGCTTGGTACCAGTAGCGATTTCATCTGTCACGGCAAGCCCTAAGCAGAAAACAAGGGAAGTTCAGATGGGCTTGTACCGAGGCCAGAGGGGAGATAGAATTGCTCTTCACCTCGCTTGAATTCAGTCATCATGATCTGGGCAGTGCTCTTCGTAATGTTGTGAGTGCTACACATGCATGGGTAGGCAGGAGTGATGATCGGCATACGATGACCACGATCTTGGGGATATATCTTGGGGTTCCAGATTCTTCGCTGGTCACCAGGGGGACCGGGGCCTATAGGTTTGAGTAAGACCGGCGAGGGCCAGTTCCATTGGGACAAGACGGCAAAGAATCGGTTGACGATGGTCCCAGCGGGTTTGTTAGGGTATAATTGACAGACACGCGCCACACACATGGCCCAGGCCACCCCACCACAGAAGCCCATGACATTGCTATAAACTGCACGCGATTTAGCCCAAAGCTTGATAGCTCTAAGACTATCCCTGAAGACGGTGACATCAGGCACAAGACGGAGGATCTCATCCGTGACACGAGAGCCACCTAGACTGCGGACACATCGATCGTCGAGATTTTTCAAGAGCGCATCATCAATCAGTTCGAGACTGTCTGGAATACTGGGCAGGGCGAGACGGGCAAAGAGGAGATCGACTTCAATAGATGAAAACTTGAGTTTGATGATCGGTACAAAAGCTTCAGGTACGGTTGCGAGTTCAGTGACTTCGGGGCGGTCGTTGAGCATAGCTGGTAAGACTTCAAAGAAGTGTTCTCGGGTGATGTGCCGAGGGACAACGCAGAGAGTATCGATATCAGCCCCAGGACCATGAACGCCAAGACGATAAGATCCTATGACGACATCCTCCAAATTAGTAAGTGGTAAACCAGGTTTGCTTAATTGCAGTTCTTCAGAGTTGACTGACCAAAGGTGAAGATCTTCCCGCCCGAGTCACGCGCAACAGCCTCTGACATTCCCAGAGAGATGGATACATTTATGACAAATTGTTTAACGAGTACGTCCAAACGACCCAAAACAATCTCACTATGAAGCAGAGGGAAGAAAGATAAATATTTAGTCTGCAATGATGAGGTAGGGTTTCCATGAGAAGATTTTCAGGGGAAAGAATTACTCACCGAGCTCGAGCCTCTTCTGGAGATTCAAAAATGTTACGTCTCTTCAATTCTTCCATCAGAGAGACCGTTAGCTGTTGTTCAGGCTTGGTAGCGGGTTGCAGTGAGATGGCGCCGGTGACTCCGTAGGTCCTGGATGGAGTACTTCTGGATTTCGAGGAAGCATATACATACAAAGTCAGACCAAGAACAGGGCGAATGAAGTCAAGGAAGAATAAGTGATGATCGAGAATATGAAACGATAAAGAGGACAAACCCGTTAGATGGAGACATCGAGTTCATGGCAATGAAATCGCCAGCAAGGAGGTAGGTAGCTAAGTAGCCAAAGAAGACTGTTTGTTTAGGATAATAATTAAAATGTATTAAAATGGTCAAGAGCAAGGAGGGAGGGAGGGAGGGAGGGAGGGAAGAGAAGGGGAAGTGTAAGTGATGGTCAACAGGCTGGGAGGGGATGAATCAAACTCAACGGTTGGTCAAAGCCCATGACCGTTGGTGGATTGGAAAGCCAACTATGGACATACACCCATCCGCAGCATAAGACAGTCCATACACGCAGCAGATCGCTTAAGCCATTTCACTTGATTCCCCCCGAGCCATTCATTGCCGAGTCCGATCAGACAAAAAAACTCAACTTCAACCACAAAAAATCGACCACTTTTCAACTCATCCAAATCAACTCTCCGAACTTCTCAATCATCTCCAAATAAGTATTTTCTAACCTTATCTCACCTAAAGACCCCCGCTCTCCCACCTTATCCCCTTCCCATCTCCCATCTTCACCCCCATCTTCCTCTTCCGACTCTGTAATCATTGAGTTTTCTGATAAATCCCCTCACAAAAGGTTCCAACCTTATCAGGCCCGGATAGCTAAAGCTATGCCTCCTGGTACGGCCAATATGTCTTCGGAAGTTGATAATCATCTTCACAATCGCGAAATAGAGATGTCGTCATCCGATATGAATAATCATAATCATGACAACTCTATCACCCCCTCTACCTCTAACAACCCGCCATTAAACCAATCCCGTCACAACCCAGACAACCAAGGAGTTTTGAAAATCATTTCTAAACTCATCATGAACCCAGAAGCCAATGGCAGTGTCATCATTACTCCGGACAAAGTCCAACTCCTAAAATCATTGATTGGAGTAGAAGAGTTTATCAACGTTAAAACCCTTAACATGATGGATAGAATCACATCTAGATTAGATGCGATTGAAAAAACCATGTCAAAATCTGTCCTCTCTCCCAAACCTTCTCCTTCCACCTGGTCCTCTGTTGTTAAGAAAACAAATCCTCAACCCATCAACAATATAGTCCGCTCTCTCCCAAGTGCTCGTATAATCAATGAATTCAAACCTTCATTTTTCATTATCCGAAAGACAGTCTCAGAAGCCCAGGTCTTTCGCCCAAAAAAGTCTCGCGCAAATAATTGAGAAAGTGAACTCAGTTCTTTCTGAGAGGGAAGCTAAAACCGAAGATGGCACTCCGATTGTCATCAAAGGTGCAATCACTCTCCCTTTGGGAGACGTTAAGTTTTTCACACCTACGAGATTTGCCACTAACTGGTTACTCAAACATAAGCATGAGTGGACCCATTTATGCGATCCCGCATTAATCACACCCCAAACCTCCTTCCCAGTTATTATCCATACTGTCCCGATTTCTTTTACTCCCTCCAACAAGGCCACTATTGCGGACCTATGCAGAGAGAACAATGGGATGATTCCCCAATCCATCCAGAGTATGCGTTGGTTGGGGAATCCCCAAGAGAACAAAAAAGCCCATGGTTCAATAATCATGAACCTTCTTGACAAAGAAATAGCGAAAAAAAATAGAAAAAGGCGGCCTGTTTTTTAAAGGCTTATTTTTTAAAGGCGCTCATTACAAAAAATCCCCTATGCAATGCTTCCAATGCCTTGAAATCGGTCACACAGCGCAAGTGTGTAAGAATACTCCTTTATGCAAATTCTGCGGTGACACACATAACTCCCGTGACTGTAACACAGATGTCCCTATTGAATCATGCATTAAATGCTCCCAAAATGAAAAAGAATCCAACCCGGAGAGTGAAATAGATGAAAATAACCCTCGTTTCCTTCATTCCCCAATGAGCTTAAAATGTCCGCTAAAAACAAAGAACTTTCGCCGTAACATCATTTCTCAATGATTAGTTACAACGAAACCCCCTCAAATAAAAAAAACCACAATTCTTATCTTACACTGGACCAATCAAATTTATCATACTCACAAGTTCCTTCATCACCTTCCTTTAAAGTTATTCAACTTAACTGTCATAACGCGTTTGAAGTCACACATAGTCTTCTAAATTCAGAAAAAGATGCAGCAATTTTAATCCTCCAAGAACCTTGGATTAATCCCCATACCATGAAACTACCAACTCATAACAGTTGGTATCCAATACTTGATGATAACCACGCTCCCAAAGATTATCATAATAAGCATCGTACTTGTTTTATGATAAATAAAAAATATCCCACAGAGAGAATCCACCCCCTTGATGGAGGTTCCCGACTTCTTTCCGCTTTAGAGATCGATATAAAATCCAATAATGTTGACAAAATCAGGCTGATTAACGTATACAATCCCCCCAAGAACTTTGACGCTCTTTCCGAACTTGACAACTGGCTAACCAAATTTAATGATCAAAACATCCCCTCTTTTATTCTCATGGATTCTAACCTGCACCACAAACTGTGGAATCCCGCTAACTACTATCATTCTCATAATGAAGCAAAAGAACTAATCAGGACTTGTGGTAGAAGAGGCTTCAAGATAATTTCAGAAAAAGGAGTCCCTACTTTTTCGACTAAACGAAGCAGCTCAACAACCATCGATCTCACCTGGTGCAATTTCTCAGCCCAAAAACTTATCCAAAAATGCTCGACTTCACACATCAATCACGGATCAGACCACCAAGCGATCCATCTCGAGCTCAATTTCTCACCCCAACCTCACACCAACAAAAGACCAGCCTATAACTTGGAGAACATCGACACAGAAAAATTTAACAAGGATTTAGCCTTCTCTCTCAACAACCTCGATAACAACCTACTAACAAACCAGTCCGAAATTGATAACTTTGTAAAAGAACTAACATCTTCATTCCAATTTGCTTTAAATAATCAGAAAAAAGAGGTAAAAAACAACAATACAAAAGCAAAACCGTGGTGGGATAAAAAGATCCTAGACCCACTGGCGGATAAAAGGAACAGAGCTCGAAGATGGATGCTATTGTCAAATTCAACAAACTCGTGCAACTGCTACCAACACTGGCAGCGTGTTTTTCGGGATAAAGTATACGAACTGAAAAAGAACCATTGGAGAAGGTTCTTGGCTGAATGCAAAGACCATCAAGTATTCAAAGCTTATAAATATACTAAGCCCACCAATCACGGGAGTGTTGCCCCCCTCCTTGATGAGAATAACACGCTGACCTCTAACAAACAAGAACAGGCTAATCTCCTCTTCAAAGGAACGTCCAATGCCCCAATTAATATTTCCCTGAACAACGTCTCAACCCCATCCTTTTATTTCCCTCTAACTTTCCCTAACATCTCATTGCTTGAGATAAAAACAATCATTTCAAACCTCCCCAACAAAAAAGCCCGCGGTCACTACGAAGTGGCAAATGAGATGATAAAATGGAGTACTGATGAAATTGCTAAACACCTGATCAAATTATTTTCCGCATGCTTAACTACAGGTTACTTCCCAAAGTCATGGAGGCACGCGACAACAGCAATAATCCGCAAGGCGGAAAAGGAATCGTACTCCGCTCCTGGATCATACAGACCAATAGCTCTACTGTCCTGTCTTGGCAAAATCTTTGAAAAGTTGATAACTAACAGGCTTACCTTTTGGGCGGAGAACAATAACATTTTAGCAGACGGTCATTTTGGAGGAAGAGCCAATAGAAGCACTGATGACGCTAACTTATTCCTAACTTCCTGGATTAAACACAAATGGAGGGAAAAAAAAATAGTCACAGCCCTCTTTCTCGACGTCAAATCAGCATTTCCAACAGTGGTTAAAGAGAGAATGATCGACACACTGATAAAGAAGAATGCCCCCGCTTACTTATCAGCTATCATTAACAGCATACTCTCCGATCGAACCACCTCAATAAAAATGGATGACTTCACATCATCTCCATTTGATCTAAAATGCGGCTTACCACAGGGATCACCCCTTTCCCCAATTCTTTATATCATATATAACTCATCTCTACTAATCAACAGCCCTCTCGACTTAAGTCAAGATTCTATTTCTTTAGGTTTCATCGACGATGTTACACATCTAGTAGCAAACAAAGACTTTGGAACCGCGGCACAACGACTGGAGCATGAAGGTGAAAGATCACTACAATGGGGCTCCTCCCATAATGCTATCTTTGATAAGAAGAAAGCGAAGTTTATGATTTTCACTCATCGACACATCCAACCATCCCCGTTGAAATTTGGGGAATTCTCTCTTCCTCCGGCACCTAACAATAAGTATCTAGGCATAATTTTTGATTCCAAACTCTTATTTAGCGAACATCTAAAAAAAGTAAAGAAATGTGGAGACCAAACAGTGGCTCAACTGATCAGAATATCCAGATGTTCCTATGGCATTGGTCTACAACAATCCAGAAATCTAATCATCAGTGTTCTCAGATCACGAATCCTGTACGGAAGCATGATCTGGGCTTCCGAAAGGAATCGTAATCATGTCAAAAATATCATTGACAAAATAGAGAATCAAGCTAACAGAATGATTTTAGGAAATTTTCGCTCGACCCCATGTTCCTTTCTGAACAGAGAAAGCCCACTAATCCCCTTTTTTGATATGCTAAAAAGAAAGAATCTCCTATATTTTATAAAAAAACTAACAGCTCCAATCCAACACCCAATCAAACGAATCCTCAACTCAGAACTTTCAAACCAACCTTCAACTCATCTCTCACCTATTCACGGCATGCTGGATCAACAATCACTAACTCGACTCAACATTTCCGAAATCGAAACCATCTATCAACATCAAATCCAGCCTTGGGAAAATTTCAGCCTTGAAGTCAACAACATGAAGATGAAGAAAGAAAACGCAAGAGAAATTGTCACACACCAGATCGCCCAAAAGAAGAACAACTCAGAAAACCTTCTATTCACAGACGGCTCCAACATCCCGGAGCAAGGAACGGCGGCGGCAGCTCTACTCAACAATTCAACATCATTCGCTTGCAGAGTCAACAACGCAGAAGATTCCTCATCATTTGAAGCCGAAATCACAGCAATCAACATCGGGCTCGAAATGTTCAAAAACAAGCTCAATAACTTGCTTTCTGGAAATCAACACACCATCTTCGACAAACAACTCAACATCTTTTGCGACAACCAGGCCACTTTAACAACAATATCAAAACCGCCAAAATCGACATCTCTCCAATTCAGATTCAACAAAATCTTCACACTCTTGAAATTT